TAGCCAAGGATGACTTCTGATCCTCCTGCCTCCACCCCCCTCAGTGGCTGAACCAAAGACATTCCCAAAGGTGAGCCTGTTGTAGTTTGCTTTCGGTTATTGTGATAAATACCGTGACCAAAAACAATTTGGGGAGGAAAGGGTTTATTTCATCTTAGAGGTTTCATACAGTGCTTCATCAAGAGGAACTCAAAGGAGTTAGAAACCATAGAGGATTGTTGCCTATAGGCTTGCTCCCAGGCCCATCTTCATCTGTTCTTCTTATACAGTCCAGGTCCACCCGCCTGGGGATAGACAGTGGGCTGGGCCTTCCTACATCTATTAGAAATGACCATAGCCATGCCCAAAGGCCAATCTGCTGCAGTCAATTCTTCAATTGAGGCACCCTCTTCACAGGTGTCACGTTCACAGCTAAAACTATGACACAAATCCACAATCAAAATTAACCTCCAGCTAGTGGATGTTAACAGGTGGGAAATGCTGACATTTGATAGTGTTGACTTGATCTTCAACCAGCAGAGGAAGCCAAACAGGCTGCAAATTTCAGGCAGGATTTCTGTTACAATCTACAGGCCAAGTTCCCAGGAACTTTAGCTGTGTTCTTAGGGCTTCAACTGATAGGGTGAGGGACACCTCACAGAGGGCCATCTGCTGTCTTCAGAGCTCACTGATCCAAATGTTCGTCACATCTGAAAGTGCCTTGACTTTATGGCCCCTCAGACACACACACCACCATTGAGGTTCTGTTCACATGGAGTGTGGAACCCACTCCTACAGTGGGTTCCCGCTCTGATTTCTATCTCCTCTCCTCGACAATCAAGGAGTGAACTCATAACAACAAGATCAGCCAAGAGCTCTTAACCATTCTCTCATGATTAGCTGTCTGCACATTAGAGTATTTCCTTCTAGCTCAGTAGATGCCAGAGATTAAAGCAGGGATCACCTGTGCCCAGAGTGAAGGAATCTTTAATGAGAAACGTTTACAAGATTATATAACTAACTACCTTTAAACAAATGCAATTCAGTTTTGTTTTAAACAGTTCAGCTCTGAAAACTGGAGACTAGGTCTGTCTAGGATGGCATGGCAGGGGGCTGGAGAGAGACTCAATGGCTAAGAGCACAGCTGCCCCTGCAGCCGTCCCAGGGGCACTTCCACTACCCAAATTACTGCTCACAAACGTCTGTAATCCAGGACCAGGGGACCCAATACTCTCTCCTGGCCTCGCAGTGCAAAGACATGCATGCAGGCAAAACACCCAGACACAATGAAAATAAGCATTTAAAATAATAAAAATGGAAAATTTTTTTCATTGCATTTTAAAATCCCCTGGTGCTCCTGACTTTGGTAGAAATAGCCAGGGGTTTCCTAGACAAGAGCTAAAAAGCCAGCTTTATGGATCAACATCTACACCTACATGACAATAAGGCTCCTGGCTTCAGGACGCCAATCTGACTCCTGTCAACATTCTAAATGAAATACGTTCTCATGACAGGAGGCATAGGTCACATGTCATTTGTGGAATCAGACCCTTGATTAGGAGAATGTGCTCAAGGTCATGTTAGATCAACCTCACAGGAAAATCATTACCAATATTGGAAACCCCTTCTTGCTCCCTGTATTCCCTAAGTCAACACAAAGGGACACTTCCAGCCCTGAAGGGGATGCCTGTCTTTTCTCATCTGTCCCATTAGTGCCTGCAAGTGTGTCATCACCCCCAGCAATGTCATGTCTCCCTTGTCATTCACGTGGGAGTGAGCACTGACGGCTGTCAGAAGGGGCGACATCTTTCCCAATTCCATGTGGTTTTTTTCTCCCTTTTTTCTTCAGGCCTTCAGTTCTGGGGCATTCTAGGCTATGCTCTGAACACTTACATGTAACTCCCTGTTAGAGATCTTAGCAGCGGACAAGATTTTCACAGGTTAACAATGTGTGCCAAGGTCATTTAACACATGACACTTTTCAATTTATGGAAATTCTTTAAAAAAAAAAAAAAGAAAAGAAAAAAGATCTTTGGTTTTTGCTACACTTCCATTAATTTGAATATGTTTTTCACAGCGGGAAGGCTTTGTGGCCGCGTGGATGGGTTCGGCAGCTAAGTGGCAAGGACTCCAGTAGGTCAGCAGGGACATGGAGATGCCTTCACTCAACAGGCCCCTTTCCTCCTTGTTTCTGAGACCCCAGCCCATGAGGTCTTGCCACCCAAACTCCGGGCAGATCCATCTGCCTTCAGAATAACCCTCTGAAAAGCCCTGACACATCCAAGTTGATGTTTGACAGTGACCATCACAGCTATTGTCTTTCTGTGCAACACTGAAGACAGGAACAAAACGCCGTAGCCAGGGGAGATGGATTGTTTCATTTCCTTATGTGTGCCTGTGTTAGGGGGTGGTGAGAGCATTCTATGGCACACATGGCGAGGTCAAAGGAAAATTTGGGGGAGTCAGTTCTGGGGATCCAATTTAGGTCATCAGGCTGGGTGGCCAGGACCGTTAGTCCCTGAGCCATCTCACCAGCCCATTTTATTTCTTGCTCAGACATTCTCTCTGGTAGTGTGGTTTCAGGTCTCATCCTCATCTTCTCGGTGCTGCCGTGGTCCACAGATGCACTCCATTTACTACAGCCGCTGACCTTGGGACATAATAGAACTTCGCACATGCAACCTTGCCAGTTTCACGACAGGAGGCAAACAATGTTTTTTTTTCAGTTGTTTTATTGGTGGCAGAGAAGTGTGCCAACAGCGAAGACTTTATCTATTGCCAGCAGAATACAACGGCCTTGGGACCTTAACACAAACACAGAGTGCTTGACAAGAGATGGCCATGGTGCAACAAAGCCACTTTCAAGTCCTTAATTGTGCTTCTACAAACCCTTCCAAGAATGAGGTAGGTTCCCTTACCCGGTATCCTCCACATCGCATCTTTAAATCCTTTCAAGACCAATTCGGTCTTAGTATCTAGACCGTATTAATTACTTTAGAAAGATGGCATCACCCTGTAGTCCAGGCTATACTAGAACTCAATTCTTAGCTCAGGCTGGCCTAGAACTCACAGAAATCCTCCTGCATCATCTGCCCAAGTCTTTTTGAGACCTGATATTTTAATCTGGGGAAAACTGAAAGAAGCCCTGTATTCCCTGGAAAGGTACCAGAGCCACGGGGACTGAAGAGCTATCTCCATCCCGTTTCCCAACCCTAAGGATGACTTCCAGGCCCTCAAGAAACCAGCTAGAGGGAATAGCAGCATGGTGGCTTATCCAAACTGTAAGGTACATAACTTCCAGATCTGTTGCCAATCACCAAGAAACAGGAGTAGTGGTTACAGGACTTCGAAGGAAGGAAGGAAGGAAGGAAGGAAGGAAGGAAGGAAGGAAGGAAGGAAGGAAGGAAGTCTGTTCATCGCTGATTATTGGCTTTAGGGCTTCTGCATCTGAAGATGCAATGACAAAGACCAGACACAAGAGAGCTTACACACTGGTGCTTATCCAATTGGACATCAGTAGTAAAGGGTTTCCAACAACAGGACCCCTAGGTCACAAACACAAAGCTCAGTCCTAGCATCAGCTGGAGTGGCCCCCTGGTGACACTAACTGTACTTGGCACAGACCTGGAAGGCGGAAGATTCTGGAGCCTGGCAGAATAAGGAGGCTGCTGCCATGAACAGCATGAAAATAGTTTGCACCCCCAGATAGCCCTTCCCTTTTCTCCTAACCACCTCCATTTGTCCTTCTCTTGTTGTTCTCACTCAGTGACTGCTGCATAGTGTCATCACCACGTGGCAATGACCTGCAGATAGCCAGCACAGTAGACTAACTCTCCAACTCCACGGCGTCCATGAACTCTCAGGATCTCGGTGCATGACTTAACATTGTACCAAGGTATCCAAGCTCCCACATCAAGTCCGTCATGAAAAGGACCCTCCAGGTGGATGGCCTGGAATCTCAAAAGACACTCAGTAGGTTCTAAAGCACACTTTGGTTTCTATGCCTGAATTTTATGCTTTCCTTCTTATACCCCCCCACCCCAGATTTCATTCTGTTGATCAGGCTGGCCTCAAATTCAGAGACGTCCTGAGTGCTGGGATTAAAGGTATGTGTATGTACCAGCACACCCGGCCTGATTTTCATGTTTTTGTCACTGATTAAAGCAAGTATGGCCCAATGGAGTTATTACCCACAAACACTACGACCATCTCCTAAGTTTCAGGACCATCCTCTCCAAAGTGAACAGCCCAGAAATCTTTACTATGGAACACACGCTTAGAGTTAAAGGTCCTTGATTCTATCCGGGACTTTGAAAGGAGCTTTTCAACAATAATTTAAAGAGAAAGAAAATAAAAAAAAAAACCTCTTTGTAATGTTTTAAATGGCTTTTGTTTTTATATTCAAATCCTCAAACTGAAACTGGGCCAGGTGTCATTCAATTGAGGCAAGAAAACTGCAATCTAAGGCTGGCTGAGGTTAGAGCCTGCATCAGAAGTGAGATGATGCAGTAAATGAAGACAGGGAGAGCCAGCTCGATGGCAGAGTTCTCGCCTAGAGTGTCAGAGGCCTACGTTCACCCCCAGCACCAAAGTAAACAAGGACCCTCAACTGAAAATCATGGTCATGTAAAAAATCACTCTGACCGGCTGCCCCCTTTTAGAAAGCATCTCAATAGCTTTCCCCACTGAAGGGACCACAGTAGAAATGCTTCTCTGTGGTCATTTTCTTTGCTTTGAGTTTATTGAGAGGTGCAAAGATGCAGACATGGATGGTCTGTTGGATGCACGGACAACACTGCTTCAGAAGAATGCAGATGACAGATGCCCTGGGTGGGTGACATGAGCCTGGTGGAAACCCACCAACCTGAGGATGAAAAGCCCTCAGCTCTAACTTCTCCAAGGAACAGAAAATATTTCCTTACAAAGAATAAGACAAAACATGTCTGTTCCCCCGTTATCTATAAAGTATCATGTTTATATCTAAAGTTAGTTCCAGTTATCAGCCCACACACTCCATGAGGTAATGTTTCCATGCTATTTATTTTCTATGTGAATTTCCTATCGTATTGCTGGCTGTGTGAGGTGTACATTGTGGGCATGCCTCTGTCCAGTAACACGTAATACAAAAAAAAAAAAAATCTGAACCCTTTGCTGCTTTGGGGGCAGAAATATGAAGAGCATAGAAAGAGGAACAAATTCTGCCCTTATCAAAACAAAGTGACAGTTGCTATGATGACGGGTCCATGAAACCACTTCCTGGGCCCATTGCCTGTGACTGCAGCGTTTGCATATTCCTAAGAAACCCACTCAGCAAGGAAGAGTTCCTATACCTTATTTAGGTCAGGACATGAAAGATTGGCGAAGGCCTTGGACTTGATGTGACCAAAAAGTATCTATTGCTCTAAATAGCTTAGAAAGCAACTGCTGTCTTCGGAGAGGCCACTGGCCTTGGTCGCAATTTTGAAGAAAGGACACTGGACTCTGTAGAACACAGAGCTAGGAAGGCAAAGAAAAGAATTTACAGGGGCAGCTTTGTACTTTTAATTCCCTTAAAGCAAACTGAAAGTGGAGCTGACATGAAGTCCTTCTACCCTTTTGCCTAGTTTGTTCTCAAAGCTGTCTCCACAGCCCAGGAACGCTCAGCAGAGGGAGGGTTTCTTGTTCTGATGTGTTATTATCAAGCAACAACTGATACAACAAGGGTTCTATCCCAGAGTGACCGAGGTAGGCTCTCCACCTCTTCACAGAGCTGACGCTGCACCGCCACATAGCTTGTTTCTTTTAAGATTATTTTATGTTTATGTGGGCCTGACAGACTTATCTGTGTACCATGTGCATGCAGCTACCCCTGAAGGCCAGAAGAGGGCATCAAATCCCCTGGAACTGGGGATTTGTGTGCTGCCAGATAGGTACTGTGAACTGAACCCTGGTGGCTGCAAGAGCAGTAAGCTCTCCTAACCAGTGAACCATCACCCTACACCCACCGTAGCATGTTTCTTCCAGCAGGAAAACCACAGCTCCCAAACAGTGTTTCTCGGCCACTTCCTCTTGTGCTAGTGAAGCACAGGCTTCCAGAAACCACCCGTTTATGTAGTCCCGCCTGCTTCGCTGCAACAGCTCCAAGCACTCCTCAGGACCCGTGGCCTCTGCTTAAGCACCCTTAGTGGAATCTTCGGATTCCAACAACTACATTTCCATCAGCCAACCAGATTAGCCAAGGCTCAGATTCTCTGCCTTTCAAACTCCCAATTGTCACATGTGTTCTCGGGAAAGCTGACAAACCAAGACACTCAAATTAAGCTAACCATCATCTTAGCTACCGGCTGCGTTTAGTTACGTCTACGCCCGCTCACATGTGACTGGCTGAATCTCATTTGATCAACCCGATTAAACAGGAAATAATTGCAGTCGGTTATGCAGATATCAGCAATAGTATTAACTTGTGGACTGCGCCCAGCAGATTAGCCTAACATGTTCTTAATGCTACACTGTCTCTTGCCTTAAATGATCAATTAATGTTGGGATAAGTGAGTCTGGAAGACGGGCTAAGTGCCTGGTTGCTGCGTTACGCCCCTGCAATTAAACAAATAATGCACAAGGAAAAGAGAATTCCAGACGTCCCTTTCATGTCTACGAAAGAAGTCATTTCAAAGGTTGGCTTCCTGTCCTGTTACTTCAGTAAGAACGGCAGGCTGCCCTCTGTATCAGACCTCCAGGGTTTGTTTGTTTGTTTGTTTGTTTGTTTTTAAATGTGTGTCCTGCCTTCCTTTAACAAAGTCTGATGAAAAACTCAACAGGTGTTTATGGAAGAGGTCATGACATATGTTCTCTAATGGTCACACAGGCCACTCTTTATGTAAGAGGTCATGACACATGCTCTCTATCGGTCACACAGGCCACTCTTTATGTAAGAGGTCATGACACATGCTCTCTAACGGTCACACGGGCCACTCTCATTTAGAAATGTAGAGTCTTAAGTGGACTCAGGGCAGACAAGTCATCTCCCTCCTCAGAGGACTCGGTCTGGCCACTCTGGGCTACTTGACAGCTAATACACCTGCAAGTCTCTCCTAGACATAGACTATGAGGTCAAAGGGTGTGGGAAGCCAGAAGCATCTCTTAGGATGCTACCTCATGAACATGTGCAGGACAAGGGTGGGGAGCAGCAGGGCACCCTCACCCAAGACCTATGATCGCCAAGGGAAAGGCCCCCTAAGACCTATTTTTACCATCTCCTTCCACGTTCTCCTTCCCCAATGGAACCAAAGTGCTATGTGTGGTCAAATGTCTTAAGGGATGTCTCTAATGTCTCTGAAGAGACCCAAGTTCCATCAGCAAGATGAAAGCCACTGTGACCAAGAAGCCATGGTACCATGGTTGAGCACCAACTCTCCAAGGGTGAGTGTTTTCTATCAGGACCCAACTTTCTCCTGACAAACTGGGAAATAAAAGAATTTCTCGCTCACAGTTTCCTAAACAAGGAAAACACTGTCTGGAATTATTCTGTTACCCAGCTAGCCAGGTGTTCATTACTGCTCACCCAAGAGAATGGTACACAGTGTAGATTAATATCAAAACCCAGAGTGTATCTCCCTATCTGCCCCTCTCTTTGGCATTCAACACTTAATGTACATTCATGAATTCTGTCCGGGGTGGTCACTTCAGCTCCAAGATAATCTTAAAATATAAGATGATCCTTCTAGTGATGTAGGAGTCCATAGACAAGAGAGACAGCATGAGTAATACTGCTACATGCTGCCGGAGTCAGGCATGACTTCCAAAAGTGTTTCTGCATGGAGAGACAGAAAGTCCACTCCTATGTTCATTTTTATAGTAAACACGTACTGAATACCTACTGTGTGCTGGGCTTTGAGGATACAAAGATCTAGAAGACATAGGACCCCTAGTCTCATAGCAGCACAATGAGCATCCAGTTATAATACTAGGTAAAAAAGACAGTGGGGACAATGAGCTTGAGCCTCACAGATACCCAATTTGAGACTGGGTCAGACCATGACACCGAGAAGGAACAGAGCCCCCTTAGCTTGGACATAAGAACCTGTAAACCCATGGGGGAAAGAAATCCAGGTAACCAGATTTTTTGATTAAAAGACAGAAACAAATCAAAGCATGACAGTGCACACCTGCCAATCAGAAGGCTGAGACAGGAGCCTGGGCAGACATTAGAGGTTACCATGACAGCCAGGGCTACCTAGGGAGTCCAACCCCCCCCCCAAAAAAAAACCCAAACCTCACCAGCAACAATAACCAAAAGCCCTGCTTTGTGTTCTCGAGGATACCCTGAGCTGTCACCAATGGAATGTCCTCAGATCATTCTTCCATATATACAGATGTCTCATTGGCTGGGAACTCTACCTTCTATGAAGGAGCAGACTTTTGGATCTTGTGCAGGACAAGGGGAGGCATTCAACATTACCTTTTCCAGAGAAAGCTACAGTAGAGAAAGCTACAGTAAGCAATCACTACCACGTTTACAGGTGACATTTGGCGTTGACAATCACTACACGGTACAGGTGACATTTGGCATTGGCGATCACTACATGGTGCAGGTGACATTTGGCGTTGGCAATTTCCTGTGGCTCAAGGGAAAACCTCAACTTGGTAACACATGAACACTGCAACTACAATATGCAAAACTATTGACGGGCAGTCGCCGTTCAGGGCAGAGGTCTGTCTTCTGTGGCACACCATCAACACACTGAGTTTTTCCATCACGATAACAAGATTGTCCAGTCGCTCTCCTCCCTTCCATACTATGACAAAAGCAAAGAACACATGTTTCAGTGTGAAACCCTCACAAACCTGAGCAGACACAACTATATAATAGGCTCATTTACTACACCAGAAAGAGGGCTCAGACACTAAGACCACATACTGACTTTCAGAGGACCTGGGTGCCTGCTCACAAATTTCACTAATTCCAGCTCCGTGGGACCCAATGTCCTCTCTAGTCTCCATGTGCACCAGAACTTACAAGTACACATACCTCCACCACCCCATACACACATAGTTAAAAAGGAAAATAAATCAACAACAACAAAAAAAAATCTAGTAAATCAAGTGTGTCAATGCATACTTGTAATTCCAGCACTTGGGAGATGAAGACAGGAGATCCACAAGAGTTTAAGGCTAGCGTGGGCTCTAGAGACCCTGTCTCAATCAATAAAATGAAAATGGTCTTAGTACGAACCCGTGGCTGTCTTTTCCCAGCCTATAAAACAAGAACTCATTGCTCACAATGCTTTTCGTGATGTATGAGGCCCAGGCTCCAACCGCCCTGAGGCAGGTGTACCAGTGTTAACATCTACCCACGTGAGGGAAACATGAAAGGTGACTTTGGAAAAAGAATGTGACACTTGTGAAGTCAGTGGGCTCTCCTTCAATGGTTCTGGCTTGAAGGCTTTTCCCCAGGGTGTGGTGCTACCGAATGGCAGCAGAACTTTAGGGTGTGCAGCTTGGTCGCCGGGGGCCATTCCCTATCCACTTAGGACCGTGGATCCACCTAAGCTTCAGGGGAGCTTGCCACCTGCCAATCTCAAAGACCAGACCAACACTGAATCTCTAAAACTGTGAGCTAGACAAGCCTTTTCTTTTTACATGGTTCCTAGCCTCGAGTATTTCGTTTTAACGCGGTGAAGCCGATCTTTCCCACATTGTTCAGGACACTTTTCCTGTCTCTTCTCAGAGTATGTGATTTGGTTTCAGAAGATCTATCTTGGCATCTCATCCCCTCTCTCAATGAAGGAACATTACTGGCTGTATTCTCCTACCCTAGACCCTGTGCTCAACCCCAGGGGACATACAGAGAAGTGAAGATCTCCAGCACTAAAACAGCTCTCAGAGGGGACAAATGTATGGCTGATTATAATGGAACTTCATTCAGGGCCTTGGGTGGCTCAAGAGGTGTTTGAAAGGTTCCCACAGGAGTTCAGGTCTACACTGTGAAACCCTGTCTCAAAAACAAACTCAGTGATAAAAAGTTCCTACAGGGGATGAGCACAGGGGTTCAACAGAGACAGGTGGCATCATGGAACAAAGCATTTGGAGACGAGAGACAACCTAAAGAATGGGGGCCAGGATGACTAGGGTCACCAGGGTGATAAGAGCAGACGCATGGCCAGCGTTGCCCAAGTTTACCTTGGCTTCTGTTGAACCCCTGTAGTGCTTTTGCTTGTTGATTATAAAAAGAAGTAAAGGGGGAGGGGAGAAGAAACAAAACAACCTTGTATTGAACTCTCCCCCTGCAGCAGGTATTTATAGGAACCTAGCACCCAGGACCAATGTAATAATCAGTCCAAGGGACAAGTACTTGGCCTAGCACTCGGGAGTACAGATATTAAGTCAGATCTGAGGTTTCAGAAGATTTCCCTGTGGGTCATACTGGCAAGAGCGTTGGTTTCTCTTTCCCTTGTTTTTTGTGGTTGTTACTCTTGTCTTCCATTCTGTGGAACACTTTGTAGGGAAACATCATGTTTCCGTGTAACACCCAAAGAGATCAAATGCCAAACATGATATAACACCATACTTTTTTTTTCCCTCAGTAATTACTAAAATTATTTTCCTGGAAACAGACAAGCTAGTCGCTTGGCTAACAGCACCAATTTGCCATCTTGTAAGAGAGTAATTTGGAGACTTGAGGACACAAGGACAGAATAATTGAGGGGGAAAAGAAGATGAGGTTTTGATGACGGATGGTTTGTCCTGTTGCTTAACAAGCTGGGATACGGAGGGTACCGTGCTTCGCGCCAGACTCTAAGTCACTCTCCAATCTCCAGCGCCCGTGCTCCCCACCTCTGTCTCTGTTCAGAGTGGGTTCTGGGCGGACCTTTGGACTTTTCATTTGTTTTTAAAGATAGGCTCTCTTGTAGCCCAGGCTAGCCTCAAATTTGCAACATAGCTGATGGCCATGAACTTCTGACCCTCTCACCTCCAATCCCCAAGTGTTGAATTGTAGGTCCGCACCCAAAACCCCCGCTGGTTGTATGCAGTGCAACCCAGGGCTTCGTGTGCGTGTGTGTTAGATAGCCCAGGACCTGTCAAGCTACATCCCAGCCCATGTTGGATTCATGAAGTCAAGGGGAAAAGTTCTGGTTTTCTCAAATGTTCTACCCTGTGCATCTTGTTATTATTTCCTTTTTCTAGTGTGGGTGTGTGCATGTGTGTTGTACATGTACACGCATTTCTATGTTTGTAGACACAGGTCCATGTGGATACACACGCGTGGACATGCCTGGGCAGTACCAAGATCAACATTCTTCCGCCTTTTCCTAGAGGTAGGGTCTCTCAGTCAAACCCAGAGCTCACAGAGAGGGTCATCTGACAAACACTTGCTCTGGGGATCCTTGGCTCTCCTTCAAGAGCTGGAATTGCCTCCTGGGTTGCCATGTCCGTCCAGCATTTATATAGGACTCTGGAGACCAGAACACGATGGACAGCAAGCATTTTAATCACCTGTCCTCTCTATGCTTCTTTTCTATTTCAACATTTTCTTTGAAACAGGCCTCACTGTGTATCCCTGGTGGACCTGAACTCCCTATGTAGACCAGACTGGCCTTGAACTCACAGATTGTCCTGCCCATACCTCCCAAGCGATGGGACTCAAGGCATTCTCCACCTCACCAAGCTTCTTATGAACATGAGCCCTAAGGTGGGTTTGCTTGTAGTCTTTTTTTGTGTGTACCTGAGTGTTTTTCTGCATGAATGTATGTGTGCCATGTGTAGGGGGTACCCCAGGCACGCAGAAGAGGGCACTGGCTCTGGAACTGGGCTGTGAGCTAACTGTGGGCGCCGGGAAATGAACCCAGGTCCTCTTCAAGAGCAGTAAATGCTCTTATACTGAGCCCTCTCCCAGCTGACCCCCAATGCCAGCTGGTAAAAATGTCTACCTGGATATCAGTCAGTTTGCCCAAGAGGCGGCTTGCCAGCTTCGGGCCGTTCTCCATTGTTGGAATGTGCAGCATCTGTAGAAGAAGGGAGAGAGAGAGGGGTCTGAGGGTGTGAAGCACACAGAGTGGTGGCCGGGAGGCACCCAACATACCTATCACACGCGCTAACCCCAACATACCTATCACACATGCTACCTCCAACCCCTGAGTCTTCTCTGCTCAGGATTTGAATAAAAACCAATCAGCCAATGACAGGGTGTTCATTTCCTACCAACTCAATCAAGGTCACAAAAGGTTGGACTGCCGTTCTTTGGGATGGTCAAAGGAATTCGGGAGACTAGAAAGGTCCGTAAACATGAAATCTACCCAGGATTCTAAGAATCTACAGGATGAAAAGTCACCCTCTGTTGAACCCTCTGGCAAGAAACCAGAACTCAAAGATATTTTGCAACAAATGAAAAAATGATTTCAAAGGGATAAATTAAAGCAAGTCTCGTCTCCATTCACAAAAGGGGTTTCTGAACCTGTGTCTGGGGCACGGCGTACCTCCAAGGGCTACAACTCCCATGGGAAGGCAAGGTTACATTCATAGCTGGAAGAGATTTCATGCCCTTAGTTTGCATCTGAATCGTGCCTGTTCATGCCTTGCTGGCTGGCTGGCTTTTGATGCTTTGATTTTAGTAGATAGCTCATATTCTCAAACACTCTTCTTATTATGCCTTTTAGTATAATAGGATAATTACAAACCCTTTGGGCTCTGAATGTCTCCCAGAAGCATTTAGGAGAAGCATTAAAAATAAGTTAACCTTTGTAAACTTTTTATTCCTGGAGTGGAGTAACAATTGGATTTTAGTTACTAAAGTGCACCAATATCTATGTAGATATTGCCATAAAATACTCAAACTAGCCCCTTACAACCTTTCCCTCCTCTCTTTGCTTTACTCTAACCCTCTCGGGCACACATGCCTCCTTCCCGTGTCTGCCACATGGACATAAAACCAGATAGTTCATCCACAGTGAAATAATCTGTAATAATAATAGTAACAATCCAATCAGCTGAGATTCTAATGCTGAATTCACAAACCAGAGGAATTTAAATTTAACAAGTCATCTGAAGCAGTTAGTCTTACAGGAAAAACAAGCATACACCTACAGAATAATGCCTACACAGTTATAAACTGCCTATACTCCTATAGAGTAATGTCTACACAGTCCCCAACTGCCCATATACCTACAGAATACTGCCTACACAGTTCCAGACTGCCTATATGCCCATTGAGTAACATTTACACATGTATGGAACGCCTGTAAAGTAACTCTATCTTTATATTAAAGATAGAGGAGACAGACGTGCGTGAGGGTTGGATTTGGCTATAAAAGGGAAAGCCCTCCAACAGGTGAGATAATACATATATGATACAAGTAAAATCCGATCAACGAAGGCTGGAGAGATAGCTCAATGGTTAAGAAAACTGCTGTTCTTGCAGAAGACTCAGGTTTGATTCCCAGCACCCACACAGTGGCTTACAACCAACTGTGATAGCAGTTTCAGGGGCTCCAACGCCCTTTTCTGGCCTCCGTAGACACTGTACGCGCATGGTACACAGACAGACTTGCAGACAAAATACTCATACACGTGAAATAAAGTAAATAAATCTGCTCTTTAAAAATTAGACAAATGTGGTAGAGAGGTAACTATTGTTTTCCTTACAACTAAGTCCTCGAGTTGCTTCAGAAGATCTGAGTAAGCACAGCGTGCCCCACTCTGTACAGTGGTCTACTCAGCGCCGACAGCAGTAATGACAGCGGCAGATGGAAAACGGACAATTCTGACGTGCATTTTGTTGTTATTGCCACTCCACTCCTAATGCAGCATCCTGGAACCAGAACCCTGAAACCCGGTTACCTGCTGTGCAACCTACCTCAGCGGGTGGGCAGAACCAGGTGAACGTGCAAGTCCCTCGGCTCAGGTCCACATTCACCGAGGACAAGGCTGACTGCTTTCATGTCTGAACTCTCACTAAACCACCGGGCAGATGAAGCCCTGTACCAATACAGGCCCAACCAGCTCGCATTTCCCTCTCACATTTTATGATTTCATTAAATTACAGGTAAATGTTTACTTTTTAAAGAATTCCACTCATGCACTTTCTTATCGTGAGTATCCGGCAGAGTGAGGGTCTGCCAAGCACACAAGGTCAGAGGTAAACTAAGCTCCCAGAGTCGCTTCCTCTCCTTCCACTGTGTGGGTCCCAAGAACCAAAACTCAGGTTTGCAGCCTGGATGACAGGTGTCTTCACCACTGTGCCATCTTTCCAACCCCAGGGCAAAAACTAACGTTAGGAATGACTAACATACGAAACGGTTTGTCTTACCTGGCCCTTGTACAGAATATCTGAAACTGGACAGACAACGCAGGCCGTCCCTGAGCCAAACATCTCCTTCACTCTGTTCCCCTCCAGGGCAGTGGTCAGGTCATCCATGGTGAGGTACCTCTCACACACCTTAAACTCACCCTGTTTGCAATATCACAAGTGAAAAAGAGGAGAAAAGGAGAGTCAGTGCTTGTCTTTGCATCTGGCTGAACTTAGATGGTGTCATAATGGTCCTCTGGGAGACGCAGAAAAGGACACCCTGTGTGATTGCCCCAACATGTTGAGTGAGAAGGACACACTGTGTGATAGCCCTAATATTCTGAGTGGGAAGGGACCCACTGTGTGATTGTCCACTGAATTGAGCAACCTACTTCCAAATGACAGTTTTCACAAATGAAGTCATCAAGAAGTTCCCCATGGGTTCATGGCATGTTTTCACATATGCCCCTTTCAAGAGTCACATGTTGTCATGAATAAGGTCTCACACACTGACTTGCTCTAAGCGCTACTTAATGCATTTTCCACATTTTTTATAATAAAGGAGAATAAGTGATTGCATCATACATCAGTACAAGGACAGCTGCCATTGACCAAGTGCCCGCCTCATGCCAACGGCGTCATCATTACTTCATAGCTGAGGACACTTGGCTTCTGGAAGTCGGAGGGGCTTCCTTCAGACCCAACGTCTAGTAAACAGTAGACACTAGACCTGATCTGATTGCCTTCAACAATGGCAAAAATCATAAACTGGGTTCCATAGAGCTGAAATTGTCACTTTCTGTTAGGAGCCAGTATTTTGACTTCATGAGAAATCAAACCAAGGGGTGTGTGATTGTTCAAAATTAAATAAATTACTATACAATTTGTGTTCCAGAAAATCAGCAAACATTACTGAAAACAGTTGAGATCTGTGTTATGGAGAGAAAAATAACCCATCTTGCAAATCAACAGAATCGTCCTCCCCTATCTCTGGACGAGTTCCCCTGTCTGGCAAGTAGTGCCGACCCGAGCGCCTCTTGGCATTTTCTGTTTCAGCATAGCTTTAAGATAATCTGCAGTTAAAGAGTCAGGAAAGACCCCTCCATAATCACCTGTTTCCCAAGCTCAGGAATCAGAGGTGTGGGACACCCTCAGACTCACACCTTGTCATCAAACCCTCTACACTTGGTCTATTTGTTTTCTTAACAAAACAGAAATTGCTGAGTTTCGAAAAGCCATGTTTCCAAGTGCAGACATATTTGGGACAGGGCAAGCTGTCTGGAATTAAACCAACGGTTTACAAATGTCATGCCCAGTGTGCCAGCCAATAGGCAGCAGTTGGGTTTTGTCTACTCTGAACATGGTAGGGTGATTTGGCTCATTCCCTCTGCTTCCAGTCTTTTTCAGAGACACGGCTGGTCTGCTTGGAGATAATGTGTGTGTCTAAACATTGTCTACTAGGACTGTCTGGCCGCAGTGTGCTCAAAGCCTCTTCCCGGTCTCTAGGGACCTTTAGAACATATGAGTCACAAGGGCCAGCCAAGAGCTCATGCCATCCAGCCAGCTCCCTCCACGTCTACCGGACAAACACTCCATCACTTCAAATAACAAACACCGGAATATTCCCGCCTCTTCTGCATGGATTCAAAAGCTTACTGAAAACAATTTTGTATTTGCTTTGAGTGTTTTTAATTTTAAAATAAGCATGTGTAGAAATCTAAGACAATGGGGAGGGGTCAGGCAGTAGAGGGAGAAAGACAAATCAAAATTCCGCTGATATTAATAAGTCAATGAAAATCTGTAGCTCCTATAATGGTCATGGGCACAAAAATGCAGGATGTGTCACCAATGCAAGAAGAAATAACTTACAGTTGAAGTTAAGGGCTGGGTGGAAACACCCAGTGTGGACCAGGTAGGCTAGTAGTAGAAGACACCCTGTACACAGACTGAGGCTAGTTAGAAGCCCTCCTCACTGAGACAGCCTGTTCAGCTGGTTCTCTGTGTGCCCTACAAAAAAAAATACTTACTGGCTGGTTTTGCCAACACAAACCTTCTAGAGAGATCTTCTGCTCAAGGTAAGATTTGAAGATTAGATAACACTGGTGGGAACCACAGGGTATGATATCATTGCAAAGGGGGGCTTGTTTTGATGATTCTGTATTGGGCTTAAGGAGGTTGTCTGGATCAAGGGCACCCACCCACTGTTGTGCCAGCTCTATGATGCTTTGCCTCGTCACTCCTGGGAGAATGATGCCATCTAGCGGAGGTGTCGCCAGCTCTTCCTCTGTTAATTAGAAACAGGCATGTTTGCAAAATTTCACTCATCAGACATGTCACAGCAAGAGCTATTTTTAAAGTCACTTCTCACAATTTGACAAATAGCAAACATTCGGATGATTCATTCCACCGTCCTGAGTCGTTAGGATTCTCAAACCTCTACCCACTTTTCAGCCAGACCCTTACTTTAATATAAGAGCAAGAGAGACAGCTCAGCGGGTAAGAACAGGTTTTGCCCTCATAAGGACCAGAGTTCGGTTCGCAGCAGCCACAACTGCCTGGAGCTCATCTCCAGGGGACGAAGTCCTGTCCCGGAATCCATGGTCACTGCACGCATATGCACAAACAAATTTTCTTAAATAAGCAAAAACAAAAAGGACCCAGAGAGATGTCTCAGTGGGAAAAGGCATTAGGTCCCAAGTCTCCCCCGAAGACCAAACCCTCTGGAAACCCATAAAGGGAGTCCCTAATCTAATTGTCTTCCACGTATCCTTAAGCAGTGAACAATGAAACTCTTCTTAAGGGTGGGAAACAGAGGCTGGGGTGGCAGCTCAGCACTTAGGAGCAATGGCTATGCTTGTGGGCACCTGACAACTGTCCGTCTGTAACTCTAGTTCCCAGGGTTCCAACACCCTCTTCTGGCTGCCAAGGGCAGCTGCACACATGGAAAGCACACACATACACTAAGGAACATGTGCATGTATGCGCGCACACACACATGAAATAATAAATAAAATCTATTCTCAGAAGTGAGAATTAAGGAACTGTCTTCAAGATGAACATCCACATCAAAATAATTCCTTGTGGATAAAAGCTGGTTGGCTCTTAGCACAACAAACATAACAAACTCAGGATCCATGTCAGTGCCATACCCAGCACTTGTGAGGAGCTCATTACCTCAGAATTGGATGGCCTGAGCAGGGGGATGATCGGTAGCAAGCCCTTATCAGGACCTGAGTTCAGATCCCACCACCCATGTAAATGCTGCATGGGGTGGCTCATACTTTGGTGCTGTAGAGACAGGGACAAGCTTACTGGAAAACACCCTTCCTCAACCTCTGGCCTCTACAAGCAATGCGAGTGCACACACACAACACACACACGCACGCACGCACACACGCACGCATGCAGGTTATTCCTACTGGTGCTGCCTGCACACTGCACACTTCTAGAAGCCTACATCACCTGCCAAGCTACACAGTTGTCGGTTGGCATGAACGATGGAGGTTCAGACTTCCCCTGAACCTGAACGCAGTGTGAGCTCAGGCACCTGCTCTGCAAAAGAAGCAAAGAGAAAATCCAAGCACAATCTCAAGAGATAATGGCTGGTCTACTCCACGAAGACCAAGTAACCCCTCCACCAGGAAGACCAGGCAAAGTGATCCAACTGTAAGCAGTAGGTGGTCCTCCACTATACAAGCCCCTCTTAGAAGTCACTTTGGTGGATCAGAAGGTAGAGTGCTTTCGTGACTCGTGTGAAGGCCTGGGTTTGATCCCTGCACCACATGAACTGGGTGTGGATGATGTAGGGCTGTAATCCCAGCACTAGAGGTGGAGGAAGAATTGGGAATTCAAGGTCATCCTTTGATGGGATTTGAGACTAGGCTGGGCTACATGAAACCCTGTCTTAAAAAGCCGTCTTTGGTGATCAACAGCTCCCTTTCCTTCCCACCTCTGGCTTCCAGCCTTGTGGCCCAACAAGCCTCAGGTCAACACCTTACGAGGATGTGAACCTACAATCACCTGCTTGCAGGGGATTCACAAATCTGCTTCAAGGAACACCAAGTAGAAGCTGTGAGGAAATTGCCCTTAAATACAGTTAAAAACTTTAGAACTAACCCACTTTAATCCTTATGCTACAGGAGAAACAAATGTGCATTTTTCCAGACTACTGACAATGAGAAAAAGCCATGACCACACGTCACCTAGCTCTGGGACCACTATTCTATGTCTCAGGGTGGAGTGGATCCAAGTTTTTAACGGTTACCAGAATAGAGATCTCTCCATCTTTGTATGCCCCAGTCCCTGCGTCATGCCTGGCCTAGCATCATCTATAAGGTTTTTTGTTTTGTTTTGATGTGTATGGGTATTTCACCTACCACTTATGTATACCTGGTGCATGCAGTACCCATGGGAGCCAGGAGAGGGCACAAGATCCCCCAGAACTGGAGTTACAAGTTATAGGGGCCACAAGTTAAATGCTGAGAACTGAATCTGGAGCCTTTGAAAGAGCAGAGCTCTGAACCACTGGGGCATGCCCCAAGCCCCTATAGTAAGTATTTTTTTTAATTTTACAAAATGAATGAATTGTCTTTGCTAGGCTATAGCAGTTTGATTTGGAGGGATTATTTATTTTCTGAAAATTGCTTTTTAGGAAGAAGAAATTGGTTCTGGCAATGTTCCTGAGGCTATTTGTCATTTTACAAGTGTTAATGATCTCAAAATAAACGTATTTTGTGATAACTCGTTAGCTAGACACAGAAGTGTGTGTGTGTGTGTGTGTGTGTGTGTATGTGTGGGAACGCGCAGTTTTCACACACACACAGACCTCTCCTACAGTTAGCTCAACTCTAAGACAACACCGAGTTAAATGCAAACAGCAGCCTTCATATGTGCTGTTGTGTGAAGTGAATTTAGCATCCAACTGTAACCACCAGCCTGAGGTCAAGAAGCAGAACATCTGTTCCCCTGGTTCCCAGACAGAGCCGATGACATGAGGACATCTGGGTGAGAAGTATTGGCTTTCCTCTGCAACCACAAACACACTCGCAGAGCCAGACATGGGAGGGAAACAGCCGTACGGAGGCAGCCTGTTACTCAGCGCACTCTGGGGGTTGGTTACTGCCCCAAGTTCTGTGAGCCACTGTTGGCTCTCCCTCCTAACCCTCCAAGCAGAGACATGTAAGGACTGTGTTAGATGGCGTTAGATCATGGCTGACACAGAAAAGAGGACTAAAGAGGCCCAGGGAGAGGACGCTTTTTATGTTTTATTATTGGATGTGTGTGTGTGTATGGGTGTGTGTGTCTCGGTGTGTGTGTGTCTATGTATGTGTGTCTCTGTGTGTGTGTGTCTGTGTCTCTGTGTGTGTCTGTGTCTCTGTGTGTGTCTGTGTCTCTGTGTGTGTCTGTGTACACCCTCGGGGCTCCTGGAGCTGGAATTACAGGCAGCTGTGCGCTGCCAGACACAGGTGCTGAGAACTGAACGTGGCCCTTTGGAAGCACAGCACTCACCTTGGCCCCCTCAGTCACCCACCCCCTCTTACACGGTGGGGAAACCCCAGCTGAGGAAGCCTGTGCAAACTGCAAAGCCTGACTCTTATTAAGTACTTGTGTGTTTTGCAAGAGATGGAAGACAAACCTATTCACTCTGATCTCTACCCATAGCCATGCCAGAGTGCTCTGTGATGTCTAAGGAAAAATTTGTGACCAGGACAGTTTCCACAGCTGTGATGCATACAGGTGGCGCTTAAGTCCTTGATGTCTACCATAAATAATAGCATTGCCTTTTCTGAATGCCCTCCCAGTTTGTACTTGTGATGGCTTGTGATGCTGGATGGGTGGGGACAGGAATGGGCAGGGAGGAAGACACCTCCTTAGCACAGAGACCAGCAACAGCCACCTCTCTAGCATCACTGCAGAGGTGTGTTTATGAGAAGTCACAGTTTGAAGACCCTCAAATTCCAGCATAAATATTGTTTTCTTACATTTCCAAGTATAAACGGCAGGAGAAAAGTGTGAGCATATGTACGTGTTTGTGTGTATGAGGGGTGAACGTGTGTGTGTGTGTGTGTGTGTGTGTGTGTGTGTGTGTGTGTGTGTACATGCAGAAACCAGAGGGCAACACTGAGTCTCTACCTCTCTCTCTCTCCATCTTATTTTTGAGTTGGGGTCTCTCATTGGTCACTGAGTCCTAGGATCTGCCTGTCCCCACACCCTAATGGTGGTGCGAATAAATGAGCAGCCAGCAACACCCTGCCTTCATTTCACATTTTCAGTGTCTATAATGACTTTCTGTGAAACAAACACTTTGTTTCTTGCTTGGGGTCGGTTAGCTCAATACCATATAAACTGTAAACATTTCACTGACTCCATATCATATCAAAGGCAGACACTGAGCATTCGGAGTGCTAGAGACAGCCCCGAATTTCAAGCCTCATATAAACACATGCTTATAATTTCAGCATTCCACAGCCTGTGGCAGGAGGGTTCCTATTTGGCACAGACTACAGAGTGGGACCCTACAGAAATAAAAAACAAAACAAAACAAAACAAAAAACCCTGAAGGCAGGTATGCTACAATCCCCCACACTCAGGCCAGCCTTGGCTGCATAGTAAGTTCCAGGCTATCCTGGGCTATATACACAGGACCTTGTCTTAAAAAAAATAAAAGAACAGAATGTCTGTGATTTACATGGAGTGGGCAGCAGGAGTCAATGAACACATATCTACTGGCAACCTCAGGACAGACACTGAGTTATATTTAAGAGTGCGGTTTATTTTGTGTGGGAATTCGGTGGAGGTTCGAGGACAACTTGGTTGGAGATGGGTTCTCTTTTTCCACCTTGTGGGTGGCAAGTGTTGAACTCAGGTCATCAGGCTTGGTGGTGGCCCTAAGAGTGTAGGATAATCAAATGGAGATGCAAAGAAAACCTACAGGGCTTCTAAGATATTATCAAAATGTATAGAAAAGACACCAATTCTGAGGCAAACTCTAGTCAGAGAGAGGCATGGCGCAGTGGTGAAGCCCTGGCAACAGGCAAGAGGGTCTTGGCTTACATCTTCAGCACCACAAAGTCAAAAACTAGTCAAAGGGGCATCCCAGCCAAGCCTAGAGGAGCATGCCTGTAACCTCACCATATAGGGGACTCAGACAAGATGGCAAGCTCAGGGTCAGCATGGGGTGCACAGCGAGTTAAAGCTAACCCACACAACCACAGCGAGTTAAAACAAACCCACACAACCACAGAGAGTTAAAGCTAGCACACACAACCACAGAGAGTTAAAGCTAGCCCACACAACCACAGAGAGTTAAAGCTAGCCCACACAACCACAGAGAGTTAAAGCTAGCCACACAACCACAGAGGTTTTTTTTGTTTGTTTTGTTTTGTTGAGACAGGGTTTCTCTGTGTAGCTTTGGAGCCTGTCCTGGCTCTCGATCTGGACACCAGGCTGGCCTTGAACTCACAGAAATCCGCCTGCCTCTGGCTCCCGAGTGCTGGGATTAAAGGCGTGTGCCACCAATGTCCAGCTCAACCACAGAGAGTTAAAGCTAGCCCACACTACCACAGAGAGTTAAAGCTAGCCCACACTACCACAGAGAGTTAAAGCTAGCCCACACTACCACAGAGAGTTAAAGCTAGCCCACACTACCACAGAGAGTTAAAGCTAGCCCATACAACCACAGAGAGTCAAAGCTAGCCCACACAAGCCGGGCATTGGTGGTGCACGCCTTTAATCCCAGCACTGAGGAGGCAGAGGCAGGTGGATCTCTGTGAGTTCGAGACCAGCCTGGTCTACAAGAGCTAGTTCCAGAATAACCTCTAAAGCCACAGAGAAGCCCTGTGTCGAAAAATCAAAAAAAAAAAAAAAGCTACCCATACAACCACAGAGAGTTAAAGCTAGCTCACACAGCTACAGAGAATTAAAGCTAGCCACACAACTACAGAGGACCTCAAAATAAACGGTAAAATGGGGGCCATGAGTGTAGTTCTAGGGAGAGTTTGCCTAGGAGTTTGTAGTTTGATTCCTAGTTCTGCAAAAAAGGAGGGATACACTCATCGCCCCCATAGCCAATACAGGTTTCACTAGCACATATGCTATGGTACAGATTGAACAACCGACCACTGAACCAACCAAGACTCATCACTGAAGACAGAGTGTTGTGAGAGGGCAAACAGAAGGAAAAAAATACCTTTTTTTTTTTTTTTAAGAAAAAAAAGCTTATTTTATGGATACGGGCATTTTGTCTGGATGTCTGTCCATTGCATATGTGCAGTGCCCATGGAGGCTGGAAGAGGCATTGGACCCCCTGAAACTAGAGCACAGACAGTTGTGAGCCACCACATTTTGGTTGCTCGGGACCAAGCCCAGGCCCTCTGTAAGGGCAGCCACTGCTCTTGTATGCTGAGCCATTTCTCCAGCACCTGAGATTTAAGTTGCAGTCTCAAACCAAACAGCAGGAAAACAGAACGTAAAATAAAAGCAACCCTGATACAGGCTCCACAGCAGCCCCTGCACGCTGGTGTCACCAAATGTCACCTCACAGGAGAGCAATTACCTCCATGTTCGTTTATCCAGTAGAGGAACAGATTCATCGTGCCCACTTCCGTTATCTGGTTGTCCTGGCCATACAGCCAGAGGACCTGCTGACAGCCATTCTCCATTGCCTCGCACTGCGCCAAAAGGGACGCGCCATAATTGCTAGTGAGGAAAACAAAACCATTGATGACAAACATAGGTCACCTCATGCCTGTATTCAACTCTAACGGTCTCAAGTTTTTATTCATTCATTTGATTGTGTGTGTGTGTGTGTGTGTATGTGTGTGTGTGCGTGTGTGTGTGCGTGTGCGTGTGCGTGTGCGTGTGCGTGTGCGTGTGCGTGTGCGTGTGCGTGTGCGTGTGCGTGTGCGTGTGCGTGTGCGTGTGCGTGTGCGTGTGCGTGTGCGTGTGCGTGTGCGTGTGCGTGTGCGTGTGCGTGTGCGTGTGCGTGTGCGTGTGCGTGTGCGTGTGCGTGTGCGTGTGCGTGTGCGTGTGCGTGTGCGTGTGCGTGTGCGTGTGCGTGTGCGTGTGCGTGTGCGTGTGCGTGTGCGTGTGCGTGTGCGTGTGCGTGTGCGTGTGCGTGTGCGTGTGCGTGTGCGTGTGCGTGTGCGTGTGCGTGTGCGTGTGCGTGTGCGTGTGCGTGTGCGTGTGCGTGTGCGTGTGCGTGTGCGTGTGCGTGTGCGTGTGCGTGTGCGTGTGCGTGTGCGTGTGCGTGTGCGTGTGCGTGTGCGTGTGCGTGTGCGTGTGCGTGTGCGTGTGCGTGTGCGTGTGCGTGTGCGTGTGCGTGTGCGTGTGCGTGTGCGTGTGCGTGTGCGTGTGCGTGTGCGTGTGCGTGTGCGTGTGCGTGTGCGTGTGCGTGTGCGTGTGCGTGTGCGTGTGTGTGTATGTGTGTGTGTGTGTGTGTGCACGCCACATGCACCCTCAGTGTATGGAGGTCAGAGGACAAATCATGGGAGTTGGTTCACTCCTGACACACCGTGAGACCTGATGATGGAATGTTAGTAGACCTTCTAATCAAGTGATCTGCTGTGCCCACCCTTAAGTCTTAATTAAACACACACACACACACACACACACACACACACACACACCATACACCCACACATAGACACAGATACCCACAGCCACACACCCATACATTTCGAGCGGAGACTGAGGCCAAGTATGGAAAGCATGAAGGAAGGGGGTTAGATTAACAAGGAGACTGGAGAGATGGCTCAGTGGTTGAGAGCAGCACTGGCTGCTGGTGCAAAGGACCAGGGTTCAGTTCCCAGCACTCATGTGGCAGCTCACAATCACCTAGAAGTATGAAGGATCCAAGGCCCTCTTCAGAGCTCCATGGACACTAGGCAAGAACATGGTTCACAGACTTTCATGCAGGCAAAATAAATTTTAAAACAGGAGAGACAAAGACACCACGGGTCTCAGAAAATTGCCCTGACACCGGCTGGGCTCTGATGACTGGCTGTCTTGTGCCTAACTCTACCACCCCCCACAATGTTGGGGGATGAGAATGGAGTGAGATGAGATACTGAGATGTTATTCTGGCTTCTCAGATCACATACTGTGAATAAACCACATCTTAATTAAACCTTCAGTCTGGTCCCGTCCTCTGCTCACTGGCACTTATGGTGAAAGACAGCAGGAAGGCTGGCATTCCAGTAACTCAAATAGACACTCGCCACAAGTGTCTCTGTTTGTTTGCCTGTGCGTGTGTGGCTGCTCTTGGCCACTAAGTTCTAGTATTGGGCGAAAGCCTGGAGATTTGGATGAACCACAAGACTCCTGGTCCTTTTCTGAGAAAATGTCTCCCACCTTGTACAAACTTACAAAAACCGCAGGTCAAAGGGTTCACAACAGGATATTGATCCCAGTGGGGTGAGGTCAGGAAAATAGGAGGTGCCTATGGTTATGCTGGAAAACAACTCTTAGAGACCCCGTGGGGGCTGGGTGCCAACATGCGTGTGTACATGTGCACGTGTCTGTACGTGTGTGTATGCATGTGCGTGTGTTGTGTGTCGTGTGCAGGTGCCTACAAAGGCCAAAAGAAAGCATCAGATTAGGGAGGTGGAGTTACAGGTTGCTTCGAGCCTCCTGACAGAACCTAACTCAGCTTCTCTAGAGGAACAGCAAGCGCTTTTAACGGCTGAGTGGTCTCCCCAGCCCCCACTTTCTCTTTTAAAGGGAGGCTCTGATTCTAAGCCTTTCGTTTCTCTGCAGCAGATATGATTCAATTTAGATGTAACAAGTCACACATCCTAAGGCTGAAGGGATAGACCGGAAGCACCAAATCTGCAGAGGCGCTTGCTGGTCATGCCAGAGCAGCCAGTGAGTGGAGTTCCAGCTGTCTGGCCAGCAGAAGGGAACCCTCTGATGGGCCAACCTCGGTTAGGCCAGGCCATGGTACTGCAGACCCCGGAACGTCTTTTCCCTCTGCTGTGCCACTACAGGCTGCTGCAGCTCTCTTTCTCTGGTATCTAGCATGGCGTGAGTGGATGTGAGGAGATCTCCACTGCCCGTAAGTAATACAGTGTGTTTATCTCTTGGAAACATCCCATTCTACTTGGCATTTTTACCTGTGGATTGCCAAGAAGATGACCCCTCCCTAAACTTTACTGTCTAATTTGATAATAATAATAATAGCTATACCGAGTTTTAATGAATGAAAATCAATACAGGGATATGTTTCGCAGCTAAGGCCTATGAGTTCCACCCCAGGAGTCACTCAGGTTAATGATTAAAGGGAAAGAACCAGAGTCCAGGAGCCAGGCTGCCTCTGATTCTCTTGATGCTGAAAAGATGCAGTCAGGTACCATTAGCTAAAACAAAGCTTCAAAATAACTTCAGGTTGTAACAGATGCCTTGCTAATAGTTTAAGATAAATAACCCCAGAAAACTAGTAAAAGTTCACAGGAATACCTAGCCAAGCTGTCTGACTCATTAGGCTAGAGTAGAAAATACAAAAACGGCCTGATGGTTGCTAACTCCCCTTGCTAGCTCTGGTTGATGATCAAAGGTGATGATTAATTCCTTATACCCGTTTCTGCCCTCAATCTCCTGATATAAATAATATATATATATTGATAAGTAGGTATGTATCCTAGCGATTTAAAGTAGAGCTGACTGTCTTTCCTGTATAAAAGTTTAGGTTTGTGATCCCTTTAAGATTGCTTATAAGATTACCTTTCAAGATAAGCAATAAAGTGTTTGGCTCTTTCTTTGTAACTGTAAAAAAGCAGCCTGCCAGTAAAGGACAAGAACAGCTAGCTTGCCCACACAGTTAATCTATAACAAGTTGCTTGGGTATGTGTGTGGGTTCTTGAATTTGTTTTTCACCTATAGTACTTAAAATGTTTAATCATGTAAGGGATATGGAAAACAGGCTGTTTTTTTTTTTCCTGTTTGTTTTTTATTCACTGTGATCATTCACTTGAAAAACAGAACGCAACCACATTGTAATTCCTATATTGCCTGAAAAACTTTGTTGGGATATATAAGCTGTAGAGAAAAAGGTATACAGAAGTAAGAAAAGAACAGAGAAAGAACACAAGGGAACAGAGAATAAGGAAGGAAGCCATCAAGAGAGTGTGAGCGTGTTCCTTTTCCCATAACCCCCTCAGATACAAAAGTCTCGCTTTGAAAACTCTGTTGGATTCCTTTCAAAGCCCTGTGCTGCTGAACACTGGCCCCCAGCCGCCAGTGAGTGCTGCAGTTGTTGTGGAATAGAGTATTTGTTTAACTATGCAAAGATGTGTTACATTTGTTTCACCTTGCCTGCTTAAGGCACATGATGGGTCTAATAAAAAGCTGAATGGCCATTAACCAGGCTGTAGAGGGATAGGCAGGACGGACAAACAGAATAAGTAGGAGGAGAAATCTAGGCATGAGACAGAATCAATCAGGGAGAAAGAGAGGGAGATGCCTGGGGCCAGCCAGCCAGGCAGCAGACAGACAGACGGACACAGAGGAAGCAGAAAAGTAGGGCATACAGAGGAAAAGAAAGGTAAAAAGCCCCAAGGATGGAGAGAAGCCAGTTAAATTAAGTTATAAGCGCTACCTAGAAACGAGCATAAGCTAAGGCACAGCTTTCACAACTCATTTGGGAGCTGGCGGTCCAAAAAAGCCGGCTCCATACAGTTTTCTAGAGAAGGCCATCTTCTAGAGGTGCTCTGAGGTGGGAAAGTTTGTCCCTGTGAGAGGAGAGCACCCGGGGCTGTGGGGCACCTTTCACACCCAGCTGCCGTCATCTCCCATATCGCAGAGGCCTGCCACTGGGCTCCGACATTCCTAAACCTCCCAGGACATCATCAAAAGTCACTTCCCAGGAGTGTCTCTGCCCTGGCTGTGACATGTATGACCTGGGAAGAGCCCAGCATGCTTACACCTTCTATCCTACACAGAGGGGCATTCTGAACTCAGGGCCAAGTCCACCGGAAATGGCACATCTCAAATGCTCTTTCATTTCTTGCCAGCTATGCATGGTCTATGAGAACGGCCAGGCATCACCAAAGCAGGACTTTCCTCCGGCCCTCAGGCAGGTGTGCCGCCATCCATGGCAGCCGAGAGCATCAACCCCAGGTCCAGCCTGTAGCTGGAAAGAAGCAGAGCTCAGGGACACTGGTTCAAAGCACTGTCTCACTCCCATGTCATCACTGTCACTGCTGCTATGGGGGGGAGGGAGGCAAGTAACACCAAAAACTAGCACATTTACAAAGCCAAATCTTAAACCACAAACAGCTTCTCACACTTGCACACTTCCCTGCACACCACCATTTGCACACACAACCATCACTAAGTCAGGACAGACACCAGACTGACTTACCCGCCCATCTTGCAGTCCCCAGTCCCACCTTCCCAGGCTCTGACATATTTCGGATTGGCCCACAGTGACACTGGCTTAAAGGTTCCGCTAGAAAAGTAAGGTCCCACAGGGCTCAGGACCACAAAGAGCAGGGCTTTGGAAGGCTTCTTGACTCCAAGGGATGGCTGTAATGAAGAGAAAAGACACACCTCTGTAAACTTGACAATGGAACATCCTGTTTAAAGTCTGCAATAGACCCGTGTTCTCCTTCCAGAAGGGGTACCCAAACAAAGTCTAGTCACACAGTCTTTTAAAGAAAACACGGGAAGTGGGTATTTAAGCTTGGGGGTGGGAAGGGCAGGGCAGGACAAGATGGCCCAATGGGTAAGGGCTCTGGCTGCCAAGCCTGAAAACTCAACAGACTTGAATCTGGTCCCTGAACATGGTGGAAAAAAGAGAAGTGACCTCTCTGGGCAGTCCCCCGACCTCCACACACATGTTATAGCATGAACATTGCCCCTCCCTCACCCTGCACATACATAAAATAAACAATCATTGTCATTTTAAAAAGTTTTGATTTGCTTTCCGAGTTATGATTTTAGACACACACACACACACACACACACACACACACACTGTGTGGGTAACAATGCTACCTAAAAAAACCCCACCTCCATCAGAAAGACAAGCAGGGCTCTGAGAGCCTAGAACAAAGTGACAGTGAACTGTGATTGAGCAGGAGACTGGTCAGGACAGTAAGAGCTTTGCCTTTGGGCTGATTTAGGTTTGGTTTTGCTGTTGTTGGTTGGTTTCATTTTGTTTGGTTTTGGGGGGCTGGGAGGAGCAGTCTCTCGACATAGCCCCGGCTATCCTGGAATTCACTATACAAACAAGGCTGTCCTTGAACTCACAAAGATCCACTACCCCTGACTCCTGAGCTCTGGGATTAAAGTTGTGTGCCACCATACCTGGCTAGAGTTTGCTCTTTAACAGGAACTTTATCGGAAAACAAGAATCCCCCCCCCCCATACAGGTGAAGAGCTTGGAAACTCCACTATCCTCTCATCTTGGAGGGAGACTGCACAGACACACACTGTTCCTTCCCAGCTCTGAAGGAACCATCTTATCTCTGAGGCTGAGTGGGCAAGGAGTCAGATGGGAGGTAACCAAGGAAACCGCCACAGCATCTTGGCTATATCTCTGTGGTCAGAGTGTATCTTGTGGTTACGTGGCCATGAAGCTGAAGTTGGGATCTTTCTACTGTGCCAGAAGCGAAAGACCGGTTAGGACACAGATGCCGCACAACCACCAGTGGACCCTGGCTTCATTGTAACACTCTCCTCGTCCCTATGGGCTTTTCTAGAAACTGGTAGGAAGAAATACCCTAAAAATGGAAAACCTACCCACCATAACCCAGAAGGAAAAGGGGTCACCTTACCCAATACACACTGCCCACCTTATAAATATACATAAAAAACCTGGTAAAAACCCAGTACAAAAAAAAGAAAGAAAAAGAAAAGCACTGCTTAATGAGGAAGACTTTTAAAAATAATTTGAAGAATAATTAGTTAAAGCAATATGAATCAGCTAGGTTTAATTTGGTCATCAGCTAAGCATAAGCAAGATAAAGACTTCTCAAAAAAATCATGTTGGGGTAAAACAGTAATGACTCTTAAATTTTCATGTTAGTGGAGATTTGAGGCAACAATGTAATTGAAAGATTCAGGAAACCTGTCTAAGAATTGTGTTTTTCTATTAATGTACTTTGAAAACTTCAAGTCCATGCTATAGAAAAATAAAAACAAAACTAAAATCAAATTGATAGCCTCAATAAAACAAAACAAAAACCCAGTACAAAGTTAGCCGGGAAGAGGAAGTGGGGTAATGAGAGGGAAGAGAGCAAATGGAGCCAAATACATTCCAAGCGTGAGTGAAATTGTCACGACCCATTAGCTATAACATACACTGATGCAAAGTAAAATTTCAAAACCCACAATCCAGAAGCCACTAGGCCGTTCCGCCCTCTCCTCCCAATAACTAATGGGTCAGCCGGCTCCAGGTTCTCCATGGAACCCATGCTCTTGCCCACCCCAGGTTCTCTGTGGAACGCATGCTCTGCTTTGCTGGGTGAGCTTTGTCTCCGAATTCTTTCCTCAGAGGGTAAGAACCGCGGGAGGAACTTTCACCCAGTGCAGCGCCTTGCTCCCTGAGGCCTGGCGCCCTCATAGTTCACAGTCTGACTGCCTTTCTTACCTTAGTGGTTAAAGAAGTGATCTCTAACTTACTTCGAGTTTCCCCTCCATTAAGGACTCTCTCCCCCTGGAATTGCAGGCCCAAATATACCCTCCCTTCTGTTAGCTGCCTTGCCCACTGCTTTTATCACAACAGAAAAGTAACCAATCAAATGATAAGGAATCCAGAGAGGCCACTCAGAGTAAATTGCAGATACAATATGCTAACTGCTACCCAAAGATAGCTAACTGCTATCTAAATTCCAAATGAATTGTCTTTCTGGTGTCCAAACCTAATAGTACTTTGTCACCTACCTACCACGTGAATCCTGGGACACTTCACTGTGTTTACATAGGCCAATGAAATTTGCATTATACAAAAACAAAAACAAAAAAACAGTAACTGAATTTTACCTCGTCCCAGCCAAGGAGGTAAGGTAGGTCTGTGGTGGAGCTCACAAAGCCCTCTAGGTTTCAACAGAAGTACCAAAGCAAAAGTGAATTTCCCTTTGTAAATGTGACTTGTTTGCGTTTGTCCCACCAGGTGGAGACAGAGAGCACAGACAGAGGGAGGAGAACGGCAGGGTTTCAGGGCCTCCATCAAATCTGCCTCTAGAAAAAGCATCCTGATGAATCCATCCAGTCACATCTGTCTCCTTAGCAACAGTAGCTAAGTTATACGTCAGCATTTTCCAACAGTATCCTTAGCAACAGCTAAGTTACACGTCAGCGTTTTCCAACGCTGGCCAAGGCTGTGTGTAAGAATGTAACTTTGTATCTTCTAAAACTTAAACCAGCTCTGCTCACATCAGCAAGTTCCTCTGTGGACTAGAGCTTCACTCATTCTTTCCCTGAAAAGAATGCATGGGGGGGGGGGGGGGGGGTCGGCCATTAAGAGCACTTGTTGCTCTTGCAGAGGACCCAGGTTCAATTCCCAGCACCCACGAGGAGGCTCCCAACAGGCTGTAATTCCCATTCTAGGAGGTCCGATGCCCTCTCCTGGCTTCAAATGGGCTCAGTACCCATGTACACAGATATACACACAATGCTCATACACATAAAATAAAGTAACTAAATCTTCCAAGAACTCACTGGCTCTCCTGGAGGAGCAGGTAGGGAGGAAGTCTCAATGCCACTTCCATACTGAGCATGAGTCAATTGTCATTCCAGGCTCTGCTAAGAAGCTTGGTGACAGGCCCCCCCCAGCCCCCCCCCTCCTCCTGGTCCCTAACTGAGGCTTTCTCACTTCAATCTTGAAAAGCAATTGAGACCCTGCGTTCCTGCTAGAAGAGCTTTATTGAGTGTTGCCAGTCATTGGATGACAGTCAACAGAACCCTGGGATGATAAAGTTGTGTTTCTGATTAACTAAAGCAAAGTCACACAACACAAATGTCAACAATTTTGGGGGGGGGGTTTAAGCAACAGTCTGACCCTCTCAGGAACATTTTAAGGTGCTTTGTGTTGGCTTTGGGGGACAGGGTGTCACTATGCTGCCCAGGCTGGCCTCAAACTCAGAACAATCCTGCTTCAGCCTCCCAAGGACTGTGATAACAGGCATACACCACACCTAGCTCCTTCTTGGTGTGGGGTGTTTCTGGGGAGATGTTGGGAGTGTAACATAAACCCTAGTTAGGTGCAGGGGCAGCAGGACCTCTGAGCTACACCCCTGCTCAGGAGCAGCTAGAGTTTGTATCCTCAGATAATCTGAATAAAGATGGAAAAGGCTGTAGCATATTGGATATGAAATATGGCTTCAAGAGACCACATAGAGGATGAAACACTAGTGTCTTTATATATTTATATGTGTATCTGTACACATGGGGAGACAGAGACAGAGACAGGGACAGGGACAGAGACAGGGACAGGGACAGAGACAGAGACAGACACGGAGAGAGAGACATAGACAGGGACAGGGACAGATAGAGACAGAGACAGGGACAGGGACAGGGACAGGGACAGAGACAGACAGGGAGAGAGACAGGGACAGGGACAGAGACAGGGACAGAGACAGAGACAGGGACAGATAGAGACAGAGACAGGGACAGGGACAGGGAGAGAGACAGGGAGAGAGACAGGGACAGGGACAGAGACAGAGACAGGGAGAGAGACAGACAGGGAGAGAGACAGAGACAGGGACAGAGACAGGGACAGAGACAGGGACAGGGACAGGGACAGGGACAGATAGAGACAGAGACAGAGACAGGGACAGGGACAGAGACAGAGAGAGAGACAGAGACAGAGACAGGGACAGATAGAGACAGAGACAGGGACAGGGACAGAGACAGAGACAGGGACAGATAGAGACAGAGACAGGGACAGAGACAGAGAGAGAGACAGAGACAGGGACAGGGACAGAGACAGAGACAGGGACAGATAGAGACAGAGACAGGGACAGGGACAGAGACAGGGTCAGGGGCAGTGACAGGGACAGGGAGAGGGACAGGGGCAGGGGCAGGGACAGAGACAGAGACAGGGAGAGAGACAGGGACAGAGACAGAGACAGGGACAGGGACAGAGACAGGGGCAGGGGCAGGGACAGGGACAGGGAGAGGGACAGGGGCAGGGGCAGGGACAGGGACAGGGAGAGGGACAGGGGCAGGGGCAGGGACAGGGACAGGGAGAGGGACAGGGGCAGGGGCAGGGACAGGGACAGGGAGAGGGACAGGGGCAGGGGCAGGGACAGGGACAGGGAGAGGGACAGGGGCAGGGGCAGGGACAGGGACAGGGAGAGGGACAGGGGCAGGGGCAGGGACAGGGACAGGGAGAGGGACAGGGGCAGGGGCAGGGACAGGGACAGGGAGAGGGACAGGGGCAGGGGCAGGGACAGGGACAGGGAGAGGGACAGGGGCAGGGGCAGGGACAGGGACAGGGAGAGGGACAGGGGCAGGGGCAGGGACAGGGACAGGGAGAGGGACAGGGGCAGGGGCAGGGACAGGGACAGGGAGAGGGACAG